AGTATGAAGAGAGAGAACATTAACCTAGCTTGAAGCGACACCAAAAAGCTTCACAGCAAGTGTCTGTCTGCGACCGCAATCTCGCCTAGAGGAAGCCATGACCATGTGTCAGAGCAGGGAAGATGGCCGCGGGTTGTGTTCATCACCCGATGCGGAGTTTGCAAACGGAAGCAAATTTTTGCGAACGCTGCTGTTCGCGAACCGAATTGTTTGTGAACAGAAGTGTTCGTGAACTGAGATATTACTGTACCATTTTTGTCAAAAGTTGTCCTCCTGGATTTCAGGTATTTCAGCAGCCAAAAGTCCAAGACAGGGAAGAGGATGATCCTATGTTACACCTTGGCAGTTTCCAAATGCCCTGTCCCTCAAGTCACCAGTTATGTCCACTTGTATTGGAAACTGAGATGTAGTGACAACCTAGGGATAACATTAGCATACTGTCCACCTTGTTGCTCAACAGTATCCCTTCCATAGCATCCTGATCACATCACAAGTCTGTTAGTAGATTTTCTCTAGCTGTTGGTGCTGGGGGATTTCAATCTCCAAATTTTGAGTCTGCAGTTTGGGTTCATGTTCTCTATGGCATCCATGGCCATGCCCCAAGTGATCACAGTCCTGACTCATACAGGGGGATCACATGTTACCCCTGCTTTTTTACACCTTAGAGCACATGGTATAATTTGAAGATGGAGGCCATTGTCATCAATTCATGATCAGATCGTGTGTTTCCATGTGTCTCATCATTTCCCAGTTTTGGGGAAATAATAAGATGTGCTGTTCTTATTAGACCTATTTGATACTATTGACTGATTGAGAAGTTTGGGAGTTGGAGGCATGGTTTCATGGTGGTTACCATGCTCAACAGATTCCAGAGGCCCAGTTCAGCCTGGACTAGAGACAGCAGCACCCTCATTGGAGTCTTCTATGGAAGCCAGAGGCAGCACTGGCAACTTTTATAATACCATTCCAGGGGTTGTAATTATGTTTTAAAGCAAAGGGAAAAACAGGAATCTGGAGCATTGAACTATAAAACTAGAGTATAGAAATAAGTATATAACCTAAGAAATAGATTTACAAAATAAGTACAAGTACCAGCTATAGAACAGAAACAAAATACTATATTTAATATATTATTATATTTATGTACAAAATAAATATAAGAGTAATAAGACAAAAGGAACCAGGTTTAAGAAACTAAGGAGAGAAATAATAGTTAATAGATTTAAGTTAACTGGTAGGATAAGAAACCTCTTACAGTATAGGAACTATGGAAAATAAAGACTCATAAGGTTAATCACAAACTTGCTAGTGTTTCATTTTCTAAGAAAATGCTAATTTACTATTTAAGTAATAGACTGCACCAAATCTGGGGGTTAAACATCTGTCCTCTGTGTAGGTGTTGTGTCATCTGCAAAAGAAGCCACAACAAATGCCTGTCTGAAGCAGAGATATAAATGGGATACAATGAATGTGTGCATACATACAATTGCATATTAACACCCTTTCAAACTTCTCTTTAAACAGCATCTGCATTCTACCTAGAAAAATAAATTATTTGGAATAACAATTTTAGAGCTAAGGGGAAAAACTAAATTTCTAAAATTAAAGAGAAAGAATGAAGAAAGAATTAAAACATTTAGACACAGGATTTCCTTATTTAGTTAAGTAGTGAACATCTTTCCAAAGTGAGATAGCAAGTTTGCAGAAATGCACAGCTTGCTCGGTAAAGAGGAAGACAGCAAAATACCAGACATGGTATTTTGTTGTTTGGCACTTTAGATTCTTAACAGTTGTGCTTGAAAATGCTCTGGGTGGCAGAGGGCTCCAGTTTCTGGGTTGCTGGTAAAAATAGCTGCTTTAGGTTGGCTTGGTGGTTCTCTAGAGGCATTTGTCTTTATGAATAATGCACTGGGTTGCTGGAATTTCTCTTAAAATGTGCCCGGAGGAGGATCACTGAATTGTCATGAATCTCCAAATCCCATAGACCCAGCTCTACATTGCAAATCCCTTTTCTTGATTCCTGCCATCCAAATGCATACAGCCTTCCTTCTCGCTCAACCAGGTTCTAGCGGATTTCAAACTGGAAATTTTGAAAACTAGTCATCAGGTTTTTAGAACAACCCATTCTTTAGAATTAGCTCCTTTTGAGCATAATGGGCTTTCAGATTGGGGTTTCAGGTGCTAAATTCAGGACCTGGCTCTGTGACTGATCATAAACTGTGTGGCAGAGTAAATGCTTCCCAATTCTCTGATTTGTAAAAGAGTTGCTGGCTTTTCTGGCTGGTGTGTAAGTTTTGCATGGCCAAGAGAAAATGTTCTCCTTTCATAGGGCAGGGATAATGTGGGCTTGCAGCTGAAGATCCATCATGCCACAGTTTCATCAGAAGATGCCGTCTTCAGCTGTTGCAGCAAGTAGTCCTGCAATCTTGTATTGCAGAGTGAAAGTCCACCAGTGAGGAAGAGTGCCTATCCACACTGGTTGTGTTCATAGCATACATAAACAGATAGATCAGGACCAGCAGATGCATGTGCAGAAATGCTAATTTTGATTAATGTTAAACGTGATCAGTATTATTGGTTGGTGGGTTATCATGTTGTGTGAACCTGGGTGGTTCAGTGTGTTGTACAAACCCCCAGATTGGGTTCATTCTGTAACACTGTCAAGCATATTGTATGAACAATATAATATCGGCACTATGACCCTGACCATTATTTTTTCTACTGGATCCAGACCCTGACTGTGTTATTAGCCTCCTGTTTGCTATCCTTCAGGATTAAGTTTCTTCATTGTCCAGTGGAAATGTTCAGTTTTAGGGTATATTTATTTTATTCAATGTATATAGCTGCCCATCTCACATAAGTGACTCTAGAGTTCCCATTCTGACAATCCTGCATGTTCAGGGTTGGCTCAGATGGTCGTTGCCCTTCTCCCCCACAAACATACAGACCTGTGCCTACTCCATGGTCTGGACAAATTGGGTACAAACATTACAGTGTTCTCAGCTAAATTTATCATAGTGACTTTCCCCCCTTGCTGCTTCTGGTCTTTTCAGATGCAAGGCTAATTGCCTCTACCCATCTTGCTGTGATAGCAATTCTACTGAGGCACACTTTAAAAGATGCAATCCAAAAGATGTTCACTTGTAATTATAAAGTGGATAATTGTGTGCTGTTTCTTTCTGAATTTCAGTAATTGCAAGTATCCAGGCTTAGCTGTCTCCCATGCTGCTGATTGGCTACAAGGGGTAGCAGTGGGACTAAACTTTATAGAAAAGTCATGGAGAGCTCATTCTCATAAGCACTTAGGCAAAGTTAATAACTCACAATACGTTTTTCCCTTCATTTGGTCCCCCAGACGGTACAACAAAGTAAAAATGGTACAGATGAAGAGTTGACAAATATGGTTTGTGAGGGACAGAAGCTACTTTTAACATCAGTCCTTCCCCCTTTCGCTTATTTTTTGAGTGGGTAGGGATTATTTAATTTAGGCAGTTGGATTAAACCGTCATCCATCAATGCCATATGCTAGAAATGCTTGATAAGAGATTGAATAATTTGACTATCTAGGCCAGTGTTTCTCAACCTTGGCAACTTTAAGACGATGGACTTCAACTCCCAGAATTCCCCAGCCAGCTACTCTGGCTAGGGAATCCTGGGAGTTGAGGTCCACAGGTCTTAAAGTTGCCAAGGTTGAGAAACAATGATCTAGACCAATACTGTATGGCAGCAGTGGATTTTCATAGCCTTTTCTGAATTGTTTTAGCTGAAAGCGTCAGGGATTAAAGCTCACACTTCCTGCCATGAAGACATGAGCTTTGCCACTAAACTATAGATTTTCTGCTTGATGGTGTCCCTGATCTAATCCACCCCCTTGCCTACTGCTAAAATGCCAGATTGTATGAACCTTTGGCCTAAACTACAAATGCAATTATTTTGTTATTTTCTGGCTTTATCTTGAGCCGGCTCAAGAGAGAGACTGACTTTTCAGCTCCACGGTGGGATTGAAAGACCTTGGAATGGGGAAGACAGAACTGATGGCAACTGGATTTTTAAATTTTATCCTCAAGACTGCGGAAAAAGGGAAGGCAAAGATTTCAGGACAGCTTTGGGAGGGAAATCCAAGGCTATAACAATACACCATCCAGTTCCATCTATGTATTAGCCACCTTCTATTCTTTCTACATTTGCCATTTGTTATTCTTGTTACATGGGACTTAAAATGAGAACTAACTTTGTAACAATAATATTGCTCAAACTGCTTAAGAATAGGATCGTTATATTTGCTTTCCTTTTTCTATTTTTAGGGCTATATCTAACAACATTTGTGTGTGTCTGTGTGTATTTGAATATAGTGAGAGCTATGTTGCCAACAGTATGTTATGCTACTTCTAATCTTGGTTTGGCAGTTTTACTGTTAGTTCAAGATGCAGAGTGGGCGAAAGTCTTGCTGATGCTGCCAGGTATGTTTGTTAGGGTAAAATGAACAATGCTAAAAATTGTCTATCTTGGATCTAAATGTTCTGATTGAATAGGTTTAAGGTGGTAGCTTGTGTGATTTGGGTTCTACATTTTTACAGCTTGCCATCCCATTTCATCTTGCTAATACCTCTGCAGAAATTCCAATAAGTACACTGAAGTCTTTTTTTTTTTTTAACTAAAGAAACCAAACAATAAAACTGCTTGGTTTCTGTTTACTTGTAGGTCTCCTGTTTCTTCAGAAGATCAAGGTAAGAATCCATTTTCATAAATTCCTACACTGAATTTAAAATTGATTCTGGTGGGAAGGGGGCAGTAAAGCTATATCTGAAGAAGAATTTGGGGTATAGAAATAAGTAAATTTTGATGTAGACATGAATATAGCTCCTCTGTGATTTCAGTTAAATATATATAGTCTATCCTGTTTTGTAGAAAAGCCACGAGTGTGCTTCAGTTCTGTGATAAATCTGGTTCAATAAACTTGCATTTTGCTGAAGTAACATTGTTTGGAATATAACTTATGTTATTCATTACTATTAATCCTTGGTCTGTAGGGAAAAATGGGATGATAATAATGATTGTGAGCATTTATATTTCATTTTAGAAGGTTTATCCTCATTCTCAATCATCTCTACAATGCTTCACAAGTCACAGAGGCATTATTTCCCCATCCTGCAAGACAGCAATTGTACGAATGGGGTGGTTAGGGGCTCAGAATAATGTGGTTTGCCTAAAGCTGTCTTGGACATAAGACCTTTGAAGTGTGATTTCATAACGTTAAGAGAGCACATACTGTTCTCTTCCATCTTTCCACTGCTGAGTGATATGTTTATTTCACTAGATCCTTGCCAAAACCTTGCCTCTTATTCCCATGCTTCAGAGGAAACATTACATTTAATAGTCTGTCCTGGATACCCATATCAAGCAGCTTGTCCATGGACATTGATTCACTGCTTGGTGTTACAGGATTTCCTTACTTTATCTTATTACTTTCTCGTTTTATCTATTAATTGAGTGTCAGATGACAGATAAAGCACTTCCTTGTGCTCTTCTTGATTTTAATCCTCAATAACTGTCCGAACTATCTATTTTTCTTTTTTACTTTCACTATTTTCTTCCTCTGCACAAACTCCTTTCATGTTCCATTTACCACCTGTGCCACTGTGACCAGGGACCTACACTACAGCTTGATCAATATCCTTAACCACTCCAGAACTATAAAAGCAATTTATGAGCTTACTTTGAAAGAAAGAATCAAAGCTGTAACCACTCTTCACGTATCATATCAAGGACATTAAAAGCTTCTGCTTAATGATGGTGAAATAGCTGGTCCAGGAAACACACTATAGTACCACAGAGGAGCACCCTTAAAAGGCAAGAGCAAGAACTGAGATTTCTCTTTCTGATATCAGAATAACTGGTACTGATGCTTTAAAAACTGCAGTTTTCAGGAGAAGAATTTATATCAGCATAGCCTTGCCTCAGGGTGTTCTATAAGTGACTTGATGGCCTTCACTGGCTACTAAGGAATGTACCAGCCTTAACTGGCCACTATACTAGTCTGATCTCCTCCTCCTCCTATTACTTTAAGGCTCCCATTCCAGCAATGCTTCAGAAAAATCCTGTTGTATCAACATTCCTCTGCTATCTGTCAGGCACTTTGGCAGCTACCTAAAACTGAAAGTGATTCTTTTCCAAGCATAAGTCTCACAGAGAATGTCTCATTAGCAAGACTTACCAAGTTGGAAGGATAGGGGGGTTACAAACCTTCCAGCAACTGAATTTTTGCCATTTAGAACCAATATTTCCCCATGTACAATTTCTTTTCTGACAGCCTTCCTGTGATCTAGCAAGGATATAGGTATTTTCATTGATAATGGAGAAGCTTGTAGCTGGCTGTTTACATAACAATCTCCTGAATCTTTATCAGTCTGGGCACTGACTGTTACACCATCCTACCAAACCCTGACCATGGATGTGGCTGAGTTTTGGGGGTGATTCACCCTGGTTCCTATTCATATTTTCAATCTTCCTGCACTTAGAGATTACCCTATGGATAGGTCAGACTGGCAGATATTATAGCTCCATGCCTATGAGACTCTGTTCCACTTGAAATGAATTATGCACCATTACTGCATATGTTTAAGTAGTTTTAAGTAGTTACTTAATGACATTTGCTTTTTATTGAATAACATTCTTTACTGGATACAGTATCTGGTTTATGGTACATGCTGGGCTGAAGATGGCTTCTAATTACTATCAATTTTTAGATGTTTGTATCAATTGTAGTTTTTATTTTATGTTGTGCCTTTATGTTTTGGAAGACTTCTTGAGAGTATTTGAGTATAAAAGGCTGACAACCATTTTTTAAATCTTATGTAGCTTTTTTACTAAACATTTTTCTCCCTTGATTCAAGGTGAAACTACAAGTTATGTTGAATAGGAAGGATAAATCTAAGCAGCTGTTTTTTTGTTTTACTTGAATCCACCTTGAGACACTTGATGTGGGAGGTTTTAAGCTTGTCCTTCTCAGCCTTAATAATAAAAAGATTGCTGCTCCTTGAATAAAATGATGGCTATAGGTAAACAACACTAATAATTTTTTTGTTAATATTTTTTAAAATCTGCCCCGAGCATCTATAATAGACTTGGTCAGTGTTTTGTAAATGTTTTTTTTCTCTCAGGACCCTTTCTCACTTTTAAACATTATGGAGGACCCCAAAAGAGCTTTTGTTTGTATGGGTTATATTTATTGATATTTACTGTTTTAAAAATTAAAATCGACTCATTTGCTGCTGCTGCTGCTTCTCACCATTGTTTGCTGGGATCTTAATATTATACTATTTTTCAGCATAAGCTGACAAATAATTCTGAATTCATGGACTTCTGAGAGAGTCTTGGTGGACCACCAGGGTCCTAAGACCACACTTTAAGAAACATTGGACTAGTCTATTATGGGCTGGACAATGTTATTTATTACAGTTCTACTCAATCCTTTTTATGAACAGCTTAGGACAGCCAATTATACTTCCCAAACTGAGGGAAGTTGGTAGCTGGTCCCTAGTCTCATGTGATTCATTTTCACTAAAGATGCTGAGGAATTAAAGCCAAGTCATGGGATCTATCATTAAACTATCACTGAGCTATAGTCTCTTTATAGTTCTTACCTGACCAAGTTAATCACCTTGTCCTCCTTTCAAGTAATTCTCTCAAGAATTACTGTCTCTGCATGTATTATTATTATTATTATTATTATTATTATTATTATTATTATTACTATTATATTTGATGAACATTTGCAATTCAGTGGAATTGCTTCCTATGATTAGAAAGATAAATAGTTCCAACCATTTACTGGACTTGTTATAATATTAGCTTACAGCTTATACCACATTCTTCAATATTCCCCTTTTTTGTACTCCATTGTTGGCAAAAGTTACTTTCTTATATCAAGCCATGCCAGTAACTTGCTTAACACAGTATAATCTGCAATGCAGGTCTTTCCTTCTGCAGTTTATACAAGTCAACACACAGCCCTTCCTAGGATGTACTTTCCTTTGCAGTCGGAATGTACAGCTGATTTGCATCCAGGTTGCAGCTTCCTCTTTTCAGAGTCAGTGACAAAAAGGAGAGAAGATAAAATTCCTGCATTGATTGCAATTCCTTGGGGTCTTTGCTGACAAAGAAACAAGTGTGAAACTCTCTACATGAGTAGAAGCCACCTGTGGTATTCTGAGCAGTGAATAAGGGGCTGCACAGCCTGAGAGCTAGAAGGAAAAGTTCAACACGGAAGAGTGTAACTTATTGCTTCAGACTCTGTAGTCTGGGGAGGAATGGGTCAGGGTCAGAAACATCACTACAAATATTGTAAAAAAAATGGTTTATCTCCCTGAAATATGACATCCCCTTCAGTTGCTTTCTCAGTTTCCTGCCTCCATGCTTTGGCTTATTATTCTGATGGTCTGTTCATATATAGTATACATAGAACCACAGATGTTTGGGTGAATGTCTGTAAAGGAAAAAAGGGGAGTGGGCAGAAGCATACAAACCAACCTAATTCCTTTCTCTTTAAGAATAATTTTATTAAAGATTACAATTTACAACAATAAAAACTAGTACAAACTAAAAAAAATGAAAAATAAAAAATAGAAGGTGCAGAAAAGAAGGAAAAAAGAAAAAATAGAAAAGAAAAAAGAAGAATATAGTAAAGAAAAAGAAGAGAAATATATGAAGAGGTGACTGTCCCCTTCATCACAAGTATAAACAATTGTAGTAACTTATCACCTTCTCTTAAAATACTACAAATGATCTCTTCTTCTCATATCCCATCTGTTATCTATAAACAAATCCATAAAGCCTCATCATTTCGGTCCTGATGTCAGCAAAAGTCCATTAAGGGTTAGCAGAGATAACAACTTATCCATTTTAACTTTGATCAAATAAACCAACTTTATATTCATTCCTTTTACTTCTAACCATCTTGATTTTTAGTCCCTTCAAATAATGTCCTAGAACTTGATTTCTTTCTTTTTTTCTTTATCTCTTCTCACAATATTCTTCAAAACTTTAACAAACCTCTTTTGTAAAGCCAATATAGGAAAATTATCCAGGTCACTCTCTTGGATTGTTATTTGTATATCTGTTTTAATTATTAAGACATCAGCCAGTTTCTTTTGTATGTCCAGTGTAACATCTTTTTCCATGTCATTCTTGTGGCCTGTCATTTTGAAATCCACTTTCAAATCAGTTTCAATCATGCCAGGTAATACTCGTTCCCCTTCCATAACATCTTTTAAATACAGTCTATCTATAGATGCAGACACTCTTAAAATTAACTTCTGGGTCCATTGTTCAAAAATATCCTTTAATATGTCCAATGTTAAAATATTTTGCTTCATTCTGTATTTGCAACTCAAGTTTGAATGTTCTTCTCCTTTAATTGTAATCTTTAGTTCCTTCTAGTTCCCTCTAGTGTCCAATTTTTAAAGTCTTATTATGTTTTCTTTTTTCTTTAAAGAATTAAAAACAAAAGCATTTTCCCATGGGAAGGATTCTTTATAATTAATTTAAAAATCTTATTTCAATTTTATCTGGACCCTTGGTCTGTTTGTAACTTTCTAAAACCAAAGTTTTAATCACCCTTTTGCTGTTTATTCCAGAAAAAAAATTAAGTCCTTAAACTTGTATTTAAAACTTCTGCTGAGGATTGAAGGAAACTCACCTGGTGCTGTAAAAAGGTTCCTAATAGCTG